GATTAAATATCTAAATATTAAAACAGAAACACTAGAGCGGCTGGAAGAGAGCTTAGGCAAAACTCTTAAAGACACCGATGTAGGAAAAGATCTCATGAACAAAACCTCAGTTGCACGTAAAATAGCACAAAGAATCAAAAAGTGGGATCTCATCTTATTAAAAAGCTTCTGCAAAGCAAGAGAAACCACCAACAGTGTAAAGAGACAACCCACAATGTGGGAAAAAATTTTTACCAGCTGCTCCTCAGACAAAGATTTACTATCTAGAATATATTAAGGACTTAAATAAAGCAGACCTCCCAAATTTAAAGACCCAATACAAAAATGGCCATCTGAAATGAATGGACATTTCTTAGAAAAAGAAGTAGAAATAGTAAATACACATATGAAAAAATGTTCAATATCACTGGTCATTCATGAGATGCAAGAGAAAACAACACTAAGATTCCACTTCACTCCAGAAAGAATGGCTGCTATCAAGAAATAAACCAATAACAAATGCTGGCGGGGCTATGGGGAAAAAGAAACCTTCCCCACTGTTGGTAGGAGTGTAGACTGGTGCAACCACTGTGGAAATCAGTATGGAGATACCTCAAAAAACTAGGATTAGAGATCCCATTTGACCCATCTATTCCCCTGCTCTGTATCTTTCCAAAAGGATTAAAAGAATCCTACCACAGTGATATATGTGCACCCATGTTCATAGCAGCACAGTTTCTAATAACTAAAGTTTGGAAACAGCACAATTGCCCATCAATTGGAGACTGGATAAAGAAAATGTGGTTTTTGTATAAATGGAGTACTACTCAGCCATAAAGCATGATAAACTAGAGACATTTATAGCTAAATGGATGTACATTGAGGTGATACTCTTTAAGTGAAATAAATAGGACCCACATATATAAATACCAAATAGTTTCTCTGATATAAGAAACTGAATGTATAAATAAGGATTAAAAGGTATAATAGATAATGTGAAGTAGGAAGAAAATGTCTAAACCGGAAAGGGAAATGGGAGGGGTAGGGGAAAGGAAAGGAAATAAGGGAAAGGAATAAATATGAGAAAATGAAAACAAAGTCTTTGTAAATAAGGAGGGGTAGAGGGGTTGAAGGGAAGGCAGGGCAATAGGGACAAAATAAGAACCAAGATATATCATGTAAAGGTACAAATTCCAAATGATGAATGTCATCCTATTGTATACCTAAAATATACCAATGAAATTAATAATAAAAAAGAATCAGAATATTTTCTTAAACCAAATTACAAAGACAAATACCCTGCATTGTATGAATTAAGATACTTGCATCTGTATCACTAAATGTAACATTTCTTGTTAATCAGATTAGTCAATCTTACCTGTATAGTTAGCCCAAGCTGACAGTCTAGGAGAAATGTGGGCCAGGCCAGGGGCTGGTCAACATCGCCACACCACCAGCTCATGGGCTTGACATGGGCAGCGATACCTCACATTACTAGTTCTTCAATGAACTGCCCAACCTCATCTCTCCAAATACCAGAGCCCTGTTTATAGGTGTGTAGGAGACTCACAGCTTGTATCCTAGATCTTCAGTTACAACAGTCCTCTTGGCCATTTGAAGCTGAGACCATACACCCTATCCTGCTTTAAGTCATATCTATATTACTTGCAATACTTAGTACAAAGTAAATGCTTTGTATAAACTTACACTTTTCAGAGACAAAGAGCAAGGAAAAAATTCTGTGATGCAATTACTTTGACAAGTAATTTGATTTACATTTTGTCGAATTCATAGATGCAAAACTCATGGAAATAGAGTTTTAATAAATATTATTTAATAAACCTTATTTAACTCAATTGTCATATTTTACCTAATTTTTAATTATCTAGTTTCTTAAATAATATATACCATGTTTTTACACTGGAAATTAACCTGTGATCCAATTTTTATGAATGGAAATTTATGACAATGCAAAATATCTTTTGATGAAATTTTTCAAAATACATTTTAGTTAATATTCAGCACATAATATTTTTCTCTGTGGCAGAAGAGTTGATTTGCTAGGATAACTATGTGATTTAGAAAAATCTACCTGTTCTATTTGCTGTAGTTCTATTTTCTGAATTTGAAAGCATGTTTTTAAAAATCATTTTTAGAACAAAGCCACTGTAAAATTTGTTGTGTTGCCCTTGAAAATCATGAATGAGCAGCTATCTTTCATTATTAGCACTGAAACTGAGACTACTTGAGTTTTCTTTTTTTCTTTTTGATTTTTTGTTTTACTTTTTTGAGACAGTATTTCACTATTAGTTCAGGCTCAATTTGAGCTCACTGTGTAGCAGTGACCTGGCCTCCAACTCACAGCAATCCTCCTGCCTCAGTCTCCCAAGTGGCAGACTGCAGGTATGTTCTAGCATGCCTGGGTACTTGAGCTTTCAATAAACCTATATTATATTTATTGTAAAAACTATTAATGCAAAATATTTCTGGAGTTCCTCAAATTTATTCTTACTATATAAACAAATTTATATATAATGATATTGCAAAATGGATAGAACTTTATGCATACTTTACTACTTAAAATAACACAAACTTTACTTATTTCCTAATGCTTTGTAAATAATAAGAAAAAATTTTAAACTCTTCTTTTTTTTGGTATCGGGGATTGAACTCAGGTCCTCGTGCTTGCAAAGCAGGCAGCAGAACCACTGAGCTAAATCCCTGGCCCAAAATTTTAAATTCTTAAATATAGCATTTATAGTTAAGAATCTCTTGAATTTTCTATTATACTGGTAAATAAGTTACTCCACAGTTGTGCATCTTTGTGACGAGACTCTTATTCAGCACTTTATATATATTCTGTTAATAAATAAGAAAAAGGATGTTCAATTTCTTAATCAATGGAAATTTCAACATAGAATGATTTTTGTAGTACACTGCAAACATTTCTATGAGAAACATAACTTTAGAAGTGACAACATTTCATGATGTTTTACATTTTTAAAGGGGAGATAATAATATAAATATTCAAATGGATTTCAATTATTTCTACTTTTTTCTAACTCTGACTTTCAGTTTCTAACTTGGAAGGAAATATAACAACTTAATTAAAAGCTTTATTCTTAAATGACTGAAGTAACATGGCTACTATGAACACTTCTCCTTCATATTCAGACTAGTTTATAAAACTTTACAGGGAACTAATAAATCACTTTATTATATATCTTCAGGCAGTATGTTTCAATAACTTCCATAATTGGAGACACCGAATCACTGCATACCAATGAACCTCCAGAATACGTAAGCTCTTACATATCCTAAAATGTTCATGATGTTTTCACTTGAAAGTAAGTTGCAAGATAAGCACAATCATTGAATTTTAGAAAATGTAAGCATCAGTATAAAATACCTGTTGTCATGGTAAATCATGTACTAGAAAGACTCTTTTCTTCATAATACTATAAATTATGCCATATATAATGGAAACCTAAGGCTAAAAATTTGTATACTTAATGCTTATTCACTTTAATCTGTGAGGAGTGAAGTTGATGAAGTTTGCTTTCAGTACACCATCTTTCCTTTCTGTGATCTTTTCTCCTCATGCAAATGGTTTCTTTCAACAACTAGACTGCATGTCCAGTCACTCTTCTGTGTGTGAAAACACACTTTCTTAAATGATATGGTAAATTAATTTATTTTAACATGAAAATAATGGATACAATTTTGTCACCACTTCCAGAAGTGTGCATTTTTAAAATTTTGAATGAGCAACAAGTCATTTTAAAACTGACTATTCTCTTATTGTAGAATTCTTTTAGCCATCAGTGAGCAGGTGAGAGAAGTGTTTTGAAGTAGATAGAGTTATTCTTTGATATAAGTTCAATGCTATGCACAAGCACTGTGTGACTAAGCACAGTGAAATTATACCACATTAGCAGTCACCTACAATACCTAAATAGAGGGCTGGGCATAAATCTTGTTAGTATATTTTCTGGACTGAGTTGTGTTTCACCTTTCCTTATGCCACAGTGTGCCGAGTTCAGTGGTAAATATAAGTAGTTATTTGAAGCCAATGCATTTTTCTATAGAAATACAGATGATGAAAATGTAAAGAAGGCTAACACTAAATACATTGCTTAGCTCTTCTTTAGGAGAAGCTTGATCAAGATTGGTCATCATAACACACCTGAGAGTGAGATAGAGACAAAAGACCTATGGTCAAAATTTATTTCTTAATACCTCACTAGTGTTTTAATGGAAGTATGTTCTTCACCTAGATGCCCACATGAAGTACAGCTAAAAACTGATAACACTGAGTTCAGTGTGTTCCTCATTAAATCTTGTCATACTAAGTGACAAGCAAACAGTGATAAGAATTTGTGTTGACCATTTGTTAAAATAAATTGAATCTGTCTTATTACTTGAGTTATACTCCTTGAATTCGTATTTGTATTACAAGCTTGAAGTCACAGGTCCGTCATCTTAATGTTTTCTGGAATCAGACATCACAGAAAGGAATAATATGTTCCAATACTAGAACAACAAGCTCCTCTTATTAAAAATAACCTTAATATTTAAGAATACTTTCTCTAATTTCCTAAAAGATTTCTGAGTAAAGTTAGAAAGAAAAAACAATCTAAGGAATCAATACTACTTACGGCACAAATAAAACTTTCTCAGTAACTAGAAAATACAGTGCAACCCAAATCTTCCACTGTTTGAAATGGTAAACTCTCAAGTCAGTGTAGCACATTAGTAGGTCATAAATCACTGACATATAATGAAACTTTTATTCCTGTTTTTAGCGCTAATATATGGAGATTATATTTTATGTGGAATTACAATATTTTGAAAAACCATACCACACCTCACAGTCTAGGAGTTTGCATTAGTTTACTCCAATAGCTATATTTTGAAACATACTTATATATGATAAATAGTATTCAAGCAGCTGTCAGATGATCTAGTATGTGCAAAATTCAATTTGTCAACACTTAAATTTAATGAAGAATCTAACTTACCGGTGGATCCGCCCCCTTAGAACCAGTCAGCCCTCCTGTTAGTGATTCGCTATCCTGAAAAGGGGAGAGGTGTTGATTGTAAAATGCTACTCAAAAGCATGGATCACCCCAAGTCCCACAGTGTAATATTGTCTTTAGCTGTAAAGTTAAGGCACTTTAGCTACTTTAAAAAAATTAGCACACTGCAATACTATACAAAGAGGCTGTATCTAAAGATCTACATATTTTCTTAAATGGTTTACAGTCTGTAAAAAAGAAAAATAAATCTGGCAATTATTCTTGAGATATGCAAAGAAAATGGTTCTAGACAGGAAAACAGATGTTTCATCTTTAAAGAGTTTAAGTGAGGGTAGAATAAGAAAAAATAAATAAAATTGCGATTAACATGTTTTTAAGAACATTAATCACGGGCTGGGCATTTAGCTCAGTGGTGCCACTGTCTGCCTCGCAAGTGCAAGGTCCAGAGTTCAATCCCCAGTACCACAAAAACAAACAAACAAAAAAGAATATTAATCACATGTGAAATGATTAAGCTACAAAAATTTAAAACTATTTCTGTTTAACTTTATTTGTACATATAGAAGATATAAAGAAATGTGGATAGATTAGAGGTTCTTTTACAAAGAAAGATTTATAATTCTGTGCCTGAGTGAGGATTACAGATGTTGAAGTTATAATGAATGGCAAAATGTGTGATACTATGATAAACTGTGAGGGCTGTGACATGAGGGTAGGGACAATTAAACTTGGCCCTATCAGTCACAGGATTTTGATATCAGAGTTATCTTTCATATGACTTCTCCAGAAGAAACTAAAATTTCAGACTTTAAAATAAAATCTCCCAAATTTTAAATATTAACAACTTATTTAAGTTTTAAACCATCTCCCTTTCCTCACAAATGAATAAACAAAACAAAACAAGCAAGCAAAGAAACACAGACACACACACACACACACACACACGCACACACACAGAAAACCACACATGTGTGTTCAAAGGCTGCTGGTTAGAGGTTGGGGGCTACAATGAAAAGTTATGCCTTGGCTAAATAAGTTCTTTATTATGTCCCTGATCATTTATTTGTTTGCATCTACCTGAAGAGGTAGTACTGAAGAACCTAGGAAAATATAGTTGGAATAAAAAAGTAGAGAAGAAAGATAACTGAGTGTGTCTGATGTGAGAAACTGAAAGTGTAAAGAAGGACCAAAATGTACCATAAACATTTTGTAATAGGAAGAAAATCCTCAAATGTGAACAGGAAATAGGGATGGCATAGGGGGAAAGGAAAAGATAAAAACAAAAAAGAAGGATAATAAAATAGAAACAAAGCTTTTATAAGTAAAGAGGGGAAGAGGGGTTTAAGGGAGGGGAGGGGAATGGGAAAAAAAGAACAATATACATCATGTACAGGTACAAATTCCCTATGATGAATGTGATCATTAGGTATGTGTGAAACATACCAGTAAACTTAATGAATAAAAAAGAAAGATAACTGAATCAAGATTGTACTAAAAGAAATTTGCCTATGATTTGTTAAGCAGCTGATATTTTAATATCATTAAGGGAACATAGGTCACTAATTCACTTAGGAATTAATCAGATCCTTTATCGTAGGATTTCAAGATTGGGGAATTCTTAACAATACAATCCAGGGTTGAGATTAGCATCTCAAACATCTAGAAACATAAAGGTAGGAGAGAAAGAAAGGTTGGTGTTTAGAAATATTTCCATTTGAAGAAGCTGATTTTGAGCAAGAACTCAATGGATAATCAATTCTGTTGCACATGCTCTATTAAGGATCACTTACAATAAGACACCACAAGGAATATTTCCAAGATAATTATAAGGTTGTCTTCTCTAGAATGGGTATGTTGTGTGTATAAATGTATAAATATAGATATATTTTTTTGTCTTGTTCAGCATCCTTTTGAGGAGCTACCCTTTCTTCCCTCTCCCATTCTAGATTTAAAAGAGGGTGTAAAAAGTGCATCAGATACTACAGGAGGCTGCCAGAGAATAAAAGCAATACAGAATCTTGATTCTGTCACTGAAATAATGTTTAAAATTCCAAGATCTTTCTGTCTACAATTCAGTTTAAGGTAGCTTCCCAGCTCTCAAAAGCCAAAATATCTCAATTAATACACTGTCATTGAGTTATCCATTTGTTAAGCATCTTTCCTCACCATCCTGTTGAAATCCTTTATCCAGACATCATATACACCATAAAGAATCAAATCATCTAAATCATTTGGTCTTAAATGTCTTAAATGGTCTTTAACATTCTTATTGAATGACTTAAGTAAATTATATCCCTGCAAAATTAAACAAAGCATTAAATGTATATTTATACATCAGCAAATAATATAAATATCTGCACTGAATTTAAAGATAACATATAATTTTAAAATATTTTGGAATTTCAGGAAATGAACTGACAGCATTAGTAAAATGGCTACAATCCAAAATTAACAGAAAATAAAATACACAGTCCAGTACACTATGTGACAATTCACCTGTTATGGCTACAACAAAAACAAAGTTCTAATCATATGAAAGATTACTACCAAGTATATTTGAAAAAAAGAGAAAATAATGTTAAGTGCATACTGCAATTAAACATTTCTTCCCCCACAGTCAAAGTCATCTATCTTATATTAACAATAAAACTTCTTTTATTCTTTTGTTTTGTTTGCTTTTTTTTTTTTCTTTTTGGTACTAGGGATTGAACTCGGGACCTTCCACTTGCAAGGTAGGTGGTGGCACCACTGAGCTAAATGCCCTCCTGGTCCTTGTTTGCTTTTTTGAGACAGAGTTCCATTATGTCATTCAGGCTGGCCTTGAACTCACTATGTAACACAGGTAAGCATCAAACATATAGCAATTCTCCTGCCTCAGCCTCCTGAGTGCTGGGATTAAAGATATGTACCACCACACCTGGGTAATAATATTTTTTTAATGGAGAAACTGATTAAATAACAAAACTTTTAAGAATTTAGTTGATGAACATTTTCATATTTTAAAAAATTCTATCCTGAAAATTTATTGCTGTCATGAATAAAATGTAACAATTTTCAAATTTTTAAAATTTTATGTTTTTTAATAGTCACGCTCTTGAAAAAAGTAAACCAAAGAAGGATCTAAAAGATGATTGAGAAAAGGTATTGATATTTGCTGGTTTTAACTGTAAATTATGAAGTATATACAGACATACACTTTTATGCTTTTCATTCATTCAATTTTAAACCAGTTTCTGAGTTTATGCTCTATTTTAAGTATGTTGAAAAAGAGTCCTACCTGGACAGAAGTCCAAGTTAAACACAGTTTAATGCTTGATGCAAAAGAGTTTTTTTAGGTGTGTTAATGAACATAAGTGTGTATAAATGAATTTATGAAGTAAAATTAATACATACAACAAATAAATCCTTTGAGGAACTCTGAACACATGCATTACTATATAGTTCTTAAATGGTAACTAAAACTTAGTCTTTTGCATGGTTGCTGAATATTTTATCTACAAAAGTTAAAACATTAACAAATGTATCCATATGGTTATTCAAATATATTTATATATGTAACCAAAAAGTGATAACAATTAGTGAAAATAATAATTTCCTAGAAAGGGTTTAAATTTAGTATATATAATTAGTTTGATTAAAATATTCAAAACAAAAATTTCATTCTTTACTAGGTCACAGTATTTCTTTAACTATATTCTGTATTTTATGTATATTGTTATTTGCATCTAGTAGGTAATAAGATAGCTACTACTTACCAAACATTTCCTATGTTCCCGTATTGTTTAAATGCTTTATGTATATTAATACTATATCTGCCTTAGAAGTTAGTTATTTCTTTTCTAATATAAAAGGTTGTGTAGTGCACCCAACAGAATAGTGTATAAATATTAAGAAGTGGGATTGCAAAACATGTTTGTATTCTCCAATCTGGTGTTTTAAAAAATGCAAGTACTCTAGGAACTGGCTCAGTTTGGCACCCTAGTGACCTTTACTGGTGCTGGTATTGGCCCACTAGGCAAGATCACACCATAGACTGGTTTAAGTCTGAATATTGTGTGAGAGGCCCAGACCTTGGAAAGGCAGGCAGTCTTATGAGGAGCCTCCACACAGCCGATTCTCCTTCACCTCCTTGCCATCAGAAAGGTAGGAAACTCTCCTCTGTACTTCTTCCCATCCGGGTGGATCTGCAGAACATTAGAACACTTAGGTGCAGTGTGTGGAACTGGCCCTTGTCCGACAGCCATCCACCTCTCTTGTTGTCATTAGCTCATCTAGTTCATGGTTGTCTTGTGGGATGGCGGACCAGGGACAGGATTTGAAGGAGGAAAGCAGGTGTCTATGGTACAAAATTTAAGGAGACAACATTTGGAGTCATTTCACATGATTCTGGAATGAATATCTCTTAAATTTTGTGTCTAAGCTCTTCAGTTGTCTCACCCTCATCTTGGCCATTCTAGAAAACCTGGGGAGCTAAAACAGTGGTGGCCTTCCTTATGCTGTCTGTATAAATAATAAACTAAACCTCCACTTGGGTTTATTGTCTCCTTACTACTAAAAAAATGAATAAATAAAAAGAGGTGTGACAAGTCAACCCAAATTGGAACTTTCCCCATGCTGTTGCTCATCGACTGCTTACTGTTTTACAGCAGCATTATATAACCCCCATTGTAGTTTGCTATCATCTATGCAGGACAAATAAACCAGGATCTATTACTTATGTAATCAACTTTATTTCTTAAAAATCTTAATAGTGAAAATTTTATTTTCCTCTCCAAGATGCTGAAATACCTCAGGTTATTAGCTAATCCTTGACACAAGCTATATAGGATCACTGTTTTAACATTAGAAAGCTCAGCTCCTAGGATGGGAACCTGGTTAACCATGGCTGGGCCATCATTAGAAGTCTTAAGAGTTGGAAAGGCTGAGTTCCAGGAAGAGAGGGACAATCAGTGTCAGAGCTCTAAGTAAAGTAAGACTTGAAGGCAGCCCAAAGCATGGTATGATCACCCACAGATATTTAGCATAACCTCAAATTG